TTTCAAAACATTGCAAAGTTGCCCCCTCCCCTTGCGTCCCAATATTTTGTTCCTATTTTGATTGAGCCCCTAGTGTTGAATTTCTGGCTCTTGTAGCCTGCCGAGGTTTCCGTAAAAGTTCAAGGTCAATTATATGCAAATTTCATCTAACTCAATATTTGAAAGGTTTCTAACATTTGATTTAAAATTGATCTTTATTGGATAATAGATACGGCTCAACAAATTTTTAAATTAGACTTAAAAATTAGATTTGATGATCACAATCATTAAATAGGTAGTGTGTCACAATAAGTACTGAAATCCACAATAAAATTAATGATTATATTTATCAAGTATTTTGTGTTAATTTCTCCCAAATACTAATGAGACGGGACCCTTTGGAGTTTACAGTATAACTGATGTTTTGTTGTAGGGCAATGTGAAACCAATTTAATCGATTGAGCAAGCAATGGCTAAAACTCAATAATAGGAGTGATGTGGAATAGAGGTCAACATTTGAAGGAGAATAGCACAAGTTTCTCAACCCAAAAAGCTGATTGGACTAATTCATTCTGTTAGAGCAATCATTGATGCAATGGTACCTAGACAAAAAAAAGGTGAAGCAATGTCACATGAATGTACATAACATTGTCTTGAAAGTGTAAAAACAAGCCTCATTTTGAAAGAGTTATCCCATTCCCATCAAAGATAAAAGAGTTCCCATTGCTTAACTGAAGAAATAGAAGGCTTCCCATTATACACAGTTTGGTGTGAACCCAACATCATATAGACAAGTATATCTCTTTCCCACTTGATTTGCTTGACATAATTCCCTCAGCAACTTGCTCATTTACTGTGTGATAGTCAAACTCACTTTAAAAATTATTGATTTGTAAAGCTGGTATGAGCTGTGCATCAATTTGATCACTGTTGAAACTCTGTAGCAGAATCCAGATTCTCATAATACTTTCTCTTTGTAGTGACAGGGGTCTTGATTGTTGGCAGGGTGTAAGTCAGGTGAGTTGTGAGCTCAATTCGGATTTAATTTATATTATTAAACACTTAATATCTATGCAATTCAAACCCAAATACAATCTGGATACTGTCAATGTTTAAAACTTTGAACTTGGGATAAATTTAGGTTCCCCAATTCCGATTGAAATTCAAGTTTGCACAGTTCACGTTATAATTCTAGTTGAAATTCTGACTGAGATTGAATTTGATCATCAAACTACTCAAACTAGAATTCGAATTGAATTCGGTTCCAACTCAAATTGAACCCAAATTTCCTAATTTTGATTGGTTCAGGTTGGTTAGTGAGAACCAAGGACTCAAGCCGGAGTACTCCACTAGAAAGTAATAGAGTTGAGATTCTTTACCCAAGTTCAACTTAAATCCTAAGAATCTTTACCTCAACATTGAATATTACTGGTTAACCAGCCCAAGTTACACTGTTGGTTCTCGCTCTCACCTTAAGGCTGACTGGGAAGACGGATCTATCTTCTTGGACATCTCTGGTATACTTGTGTTGAGTGTGTGCGTATGCCCCTGGTTTTCCAGGCTTTTGTATATAAACAAAAAAGGTCAATTATACTTTGTGTCTTGACAAATTTAAGGAGCTTTTCCCCTTCCCCCTCAAAACTTAATTCCCAAAATCAGTCATTTTTAAACTTAATTCCCAAACTTAGTCTTTTTTTAAAAACGTCATTTAAAATGACGTATTCTCATCTAAAAACGTCATTTGAAATGACGTTTTTGAAATTTAAATTTTTTCTCTGAAAACGTCATTTCTAATGATATTTTTAAAGTCGTCATTTAGAATAATGTTTTTTAATATAGTTTTTTTAAACAGCAGTAACAAACATTAAAAAATTACAAAGAGATGAAAATATCATTTTGAATGACATTTTTAAAAATTTAGGGGTTGAAAACGTCATTTAAGAAAACCTAGGTAAATGTTTTAAAAATTTTTTACCCTCTCTCAGTCTAGTCGGTCTCTCCTCTCTCACAGATCGGTCCTCCCTCCTCCAACCAGTCAGCCCACTGTCTCAGATTGATCGATCTCTCCTCCTTCACCTGCAACCACCGTCTTCTCCGACAAGATCAAACGACTTAGCCCCTGTCCTACGAAACTAGCCCCTGTTCAACTCTATTAGCTGCGACTGGGATTTCAGACCAGACCACTCTCTTTATCTGCTACGTTCTCATCTTCAGAAAGGTTAGAACTACGATTTGTGTTTTGATTTAAGGATTTGTTGATTATATAGTTTTGGTGGGTTTTGTTCTTGAACGAATTGATTTTTTACCCATCTATTTTTTTTTTGAATTACCACTGGATGTTTTGGAAATTTTGTGTAATATTTCTTTAATTTCATGTTGATTGTGTAGATAAGTTTGCTACGGTTTGTCAATGTGATGTGCTACTTCATAATCTCTTTACAGTGTGCTGTAAAGTGTCGATATCTCTTGTTTTGGCTTTGTTTATATGGGCGTGCATTCAACTTCTTTGTCAGAGTGCGGAACCTTATGATTCTTGACAATGTACCAGTTCAAACTTATCAGATTTAGCGTATTTATAGGCGGATTATAATCGGGAGATGAAATACTTATGTTATTTGTTTATCAACTGTAATTTGTCCTTTTCCTTCGTGGTGATGAGGAACCAATCAAAATACCCCATCCCAATTTTATTGTGAAAGTTCTAGGAGGTCGGAAACTTGTGTTGATAATTTAAGTAGGTAAGGATTCTTTCTCTCACATTCTTCTTTTATTCTTCCTAGTTTTCTTTTATTGAATTTTCTTTGATTGTTTAGCTATTATGATGCTTACTCTATAGTACTCCCACTATTATTCTTTCACATTTTTCTTTCTGATTATCCACAACTAGCTTCTTTTTTATTTTGTAGTATGCAATAGCTTGCCCATATCCTCTATTTACTTATATTGATTTATCAAGCGCACATGCAGCATGTGCAGTGTCTATACATGTTCTGGCCTTGAATTTGATAAACTTTACACCAGGATCATGCAGAGTGTACAATCCCTTATTTCAGAGTTAATATTACTATTTTTGATATTAAATGTTTAGAAGACTCTTGCATGTTGCTTGTTGCTTTTGATATTAAATGTAAGAATTGATCCCATGTAGCACCCACTACATGGTGATCAAAATTCCAACTAATTCCAAATTTTAGCTTCACAAGTGCACAATTTGTTTTTCCCCTTTGTTCCCATGGTCTTGTTTGTAATGTAGGAATGGAGAGCTAGGGTACTTATGGAACAACTTTACACCCACTAAATGTTTGTTGTCATCCCACTTTAGGGAACAATATCTATGGAGATGATGTAAGGGAAACCCTCCTAAGATTGCAGAAGGAAGGGACTGATGCAAATGCTGCTTACATCCTTATGCAAAGAATTTTTCCAAACATATATCCTGCTATTCTGACGAGGAATGACATCTGTCATAAAGATCATGCCATATCAGAACTTGGTATATATGGTGCTTATCTAAGGTAACTACAGTGTGTCATTGCTCCCACAACCAATGAGTTTTTCATGCACCATAACTTTTATTTTTCACCTGATTATACATTGGCCAACCACTCACTTCGGCAAGGAGCTCCATAGAAAATTAGAGTAACCTTTAACATAAATATTACATTAGATTTTTCTTGGAAATCCACCCAAACTAGTATCTTGTGTAAATATCATTGTATCCTATATGATACAGTTAAAAGGCATGCGTATTGACAATGTGTATTGTGGCTAACAAGGCATGCGTATTCAAATCCTGTGGGCAATCTATTTGGGTGTTGCCTTGGTGGGTGGTGTTGCATGTGTGTTGCTTTTGGCCTTTACAGGTGTTGTGTGCAAGTGTAGTCTTTGTATGTGTTAATTCCATGTTGCTTAAACTTAAATCAGTAAATTTATTTTGTTATATTTGTTTGTGGCAGGTGTGGAAGGAAGATTGTCTTGTGTGTTACTGAATTGTGGCAGTTATGTTGCTCCATCAAAAAGAAAAACAACTCGGAACATGATTTTTTTCTTAATTTCTTGTAGCTGAAGTTGTATATATTTTAAATACAACTCAATTGCTGAATTTTTTTCTTTTGGAGTGTAAATTGTATTCACACATTCATGTGTGCAAATATGTCAAAATGTACAATTCAAGCAGCTTGAAGTTTTTATTGATCCCAGATCCTTGTCCAACAGACTTGTCCCTTTTTGAATATCTTACAGTTGAAATGAGATTTTACACTGGACTACCCTTTTTTTCGTTGAACAATTTGAGAAAGTGTTTAACATCATTTTGGTACATAGAAACATAACTACAGGAAATGGATATTACTTTTTCAGAAGGGAGGATTAGTCGATATGCTGAGACTAGCATTTTAGAATTTAATTCTGTTTTCATGATAATTTTGAACTTATTTTATAATCGAAAATAAAATTCATAAAAGCATAATTTTTTTTTCTTCAGAAAATACCATTTTATTTATTAATAAAGTAGCAATTACAAGAAGCAAAGGAAAGACATATATGCCTTACCAGAAAACAACTCAAAAATAAGGCACACCCGCCTATCAAAGCAAACAAAATATAGTCCAAAACAGTAAGCTCCCAGACCAGTATATTCATGGCAGTCACCCTCCTCATAAACCCTTTTCTTCCCTTTCAAAATGTTTTAGACAAATCAACACTTTATCAAGTGCAGATTTCAGTAAAAACATGGCAATCAGCCCTTATCATCAAACATAAGCCTTTTCTTTTTACGCAAAACCGGTAATCCCATTTGATCATTACGCAGAGCAGACCCAACCTCGCTGGGAAGCTGCAAATGAATCGAAGAAACAGTAGATGTCCTCTCCAGCACAGCTTGATTCGCAAGCCTATCAGCAACATTGTTGGCCTCACGAAAAATGTGCTTCAGTTGATAGTTCAAATCCCCTAATAACTCTTTAATCTGTCTTAAATATTCCAGGCAAGACCAGGGGCAATCAGAAACCCCAAAATAGAATTTACCAAAACCAAGGCGTCACTTTCTTGAGAAGATTCACAAGTTTGACTGCCCCGTATTCTGAAATGTAAAGAGGCCTCCCAAAAATTTTCTGGTACTCAGCATGTACACGAGTAAGAGACAGATATCCTCCTGACGGTTCAAGCAACTGTACCAGCTGCCCCTTCAAACCATTTATATCTATAGGCTGTACCCACATCAAGTCATTTTGGTCACAAGAAGCAACAGGTCCGGCTGAAACTTCATTCAAACCAGAAGGGAGACTATGTGATCTCAAAGTTGTAGGAAAACAAGGCATGGATATTGAAGAACTATTGTATTCGGATAAAGACTGTGATATGGCCATTTCACCCATATAGTCTTCAAGATAACATTACAAGAGAATTTAATCTGCAACCAATCAAGAAAATCTTTTCCACCAGACTCATCAGGGGCTTTAGGTTTTACATTCCTAACTTGATACCGTAAAATACTGCATATCCTTATAAAGACAGAATAAGAATTTAATATCCCCTCACCCGCTAGTCTTCGACACCTTTCTTTCCATAATTGCCAAAAGATAAGCAAAGGAATACTTCTAAATAAGCTGAAGTATTGGGGCATTAAGCTGAATTATATGCAACAACTAGAGCGTGGCCAATCTGTTTTCTCTGTACATCCAACGCCGAGGAGCAACGGCGAATATTTCCTTACCTTGAGTGACAATTATCAATAGAACAATTAAAAATTGACCAATACATACTAACCAATACATATGCATCTGGTATAACAACAGAAAGCAAATGGAGCATACCAACCAAGCTCTCTGCATATTTCGCATGCGCAAGCTTCGCCTCTGGAGGATCTTCTCCATGACAGACCCATCTAGGAAAGAATCTGGGTTTTCATCGGTATCCAGATCTTCAACCTGATTGTTTGACATTGTTTCATTTGAATTTCCATGGGGGTTTTCAGAACTCAGCTGCATTCTGTCAAGATGTTCCTAAAGCAAACCCTCTACTCTCCTTTGCAAACTTAGTGGTATAACCACCTGCACAAATGGGTCAAAAGCTTTCCAATCCTCACATGCTTGATGAGGTATGCCTGCCCCTCTCTCTCTCTCTTCAAAGTAGATGATTTTGCTGAGGTTTGTGATGACTTTGTTCACCTAGTGAAGCTAAAACTTGATTTTCTTGATTTTGAAAGTGAAAGTTTTTAGAAAAATTGTGTTTGGGTTTCAAGAGAGTTGGGAATTCTGAATTATATTGTTGTTAAAGGGTCTCTATCAGTTGAGTTGCATCAGATCTTTGAAAGGGTACACATCAAATGATTTATGGGTCAGAATTTTAGTCATGCGTTCTTTTCATCGAGTCTGGCTTGAAGAATTCAACTAAACCAATTCCATCAAATTCAAAAACACATAACATGTAAAATCACACCCAAACACATACATACATATGGAATAGATATACTGACCACTAGGGGTACTTGGGTTCCTCTCTTACCTTTCTTCTTAGCAGAATCTGGAACAAAGAACAAGTTTTAATGATTGATCTGATTTTGAGTTGCGCTAGGGTTTGATTTGAGGGGTTAAGCGCCGGATTAGCATCAGTTAAATCGATCTAGGGCAAAAAATATTTAGGGCAAATATGGAGAATGGAGAATGGAGAAATTGTTCAATCGATGGTGGAGGCTGTGGTCAGTCTCTTTATTTAAGTCGCTGGTGGAGCATGGTGGAAGTCGCCGGTGGAGGTTGTGGTCGCTGGTGGTGGCTTTGTTGAAGTCGCTAGGTGGAGCTTGATTATCATTCATAATGATGTTTTTGAAAAAAAAAATTCAACTATAAATCGTCATTCTAAACGACGTTTTTAGGCGAAAAGGAGTCATTTCAAATGACGTTTTTAAAAAAAGACTGAATTTAAGAATTAAGTTTAAAAATAACTGGATTATGGAATTTTGAGGGGGCATGAGTTTGGGGAAACCTCCAAATTTAAGAATACTCACTTTACATCTTCAAATATTAGATTTTTTATATTGTATCCTCAATATATTAAAAATATTACAATGTAATCCTTCTAATAATTTTCGCTATTTATTTTGTCAACGTCAATGAAATGAATTTTGATGGAATAAGTAGAAAAATAGAAAATTTTAAATCTTCTGGGTTGCAAAGTAAGATTTTCTAACCATGGCACACAGATTTGGTTATTATCTATGAGTTAAGACAAAGAAGATTCGTAATGTAGCGACTTCCTTGCCCCTTTTTATTTTTATTTTTTTTTGACACGAAACGAAAATTCTTTTGTTGATTAAGAAATAAAAATATCATCTTGGAGGATAGGTACCAAGAAATCCGGTTCGTTATTTTTTTCATATAATACGTTGAGAACATGAAGTAGCATATTTGACTAACGTATGCGTCGCACTATTTTCAGATCTTCGTACCCAAGAGACATTAAACTAATTTACACCATATGTGAATCTTTTAATTTGGTCAACAGAATGTCCAATTTCAGAGAGGTTGGTATGACTCGATTTGATTGCCTCAATAATTCCTTTTTCAATCACCTTCTAATATCATATTTTGATAACTCAGATCAATTGCAAATTTAGTGCCCATGAATGCAGCCCAAGCTTCAGCATGTAAAGCAGTAGTAATACCTTGAATGCATCGGCTAAGACTCGCCACAAATTGACAATTCCAATTTTGAACAACTTTTATACCAATTTTGAGAATGCCAGGACTGGGAGCAGTCCATTGTTAGTCTCAGCAACAATACACTGTTGTGAATCTTGCTGCCTATTTACATTAGCTGCTTACAAAATGGTCCAAGAAAGAAACAGAAATCCACAATCTGCTTTGGCTTTCTTTTGGGTTTGATTTAAGTAAGCTTCATCTTCCGGTACCGTGTAACCATTGGTTACAATCTCTCACAAGTCTAGAGATTCAAGAATCACTTTTACGTGGATATACTAATTCTCATAATTATATTTAGTGAATCAAGACATTTGAAATGAAAGCATTCTATTCGACATCCTCTCTCTCTCTCTCTCTCTCTCTCCCTTGACACTCAAATATGTATAGCTCTGATACCATTTTGTCCGAATCAAGAGAATCATCATACACTTGAACAAGTATAATATTAGAGACTTTTGATAAGAAAAGGTAAGAACTTTTTCAATTGACTCATGCCCAAATGGGTGGATAACATGTCAATTATACTCATCTACATACTTTTATCTAATTTTTATTTTTTACTCCTATTTGACTTTTAACTTGTTTTAGACTCTTTTATAAAAAATTTTAAATTCTTTTAAACACATTTATTAGCAATAAAATTATATACAACTTTCTATATACATATGAAAAAGTAAAATCCTATATAATTATACTCTCCTACATATTTTCATCTAATTTTTTTTTTACTCATTTGACTTTCAATTTGTTTAGGATTTTTTTATAAAAAATTTTAAATTCTTTTGAACTTATTTATTAATAATAAAACTATATACAATTTTCTATATCTATATGACAAAATAAAATTCTTTATATATTAAATTATTATACAAATGAAGTTGTCAAATTGAATTTTACAACCAAATATATATTATATTTTGTTTATTGATATGCAATAATATAATAATATTATAAATGATTTAATCAATCTATTTAATAAAATAAAAAATAATAATTTTATAATATAATTAGGTGTGCAAATGTCTAAAGGAGCCAAAGATATACTTAAATAAATAACTGATTTGGTGGTCAAAGCTTATAGAATAAATTAATAATTAAATTTAAAAATAATTAAAATACAAAATTATTATTTGATACTTAATTTATTATTTAATTTAATGACACATATAATTTATGTTATCTATAAAAAAATATTATTTAAATTTATTTACATGAAACGCAGGTCATGCATTACTAGTAAATGAACTAAATGTAAGAATATATATATAACTTATAAAATATGAAAAATTATGTTTATTATTTTTCTCAACATAACTTTCCAAGAATCACTTTCAACATTGACAATAGACTTACTGGCACAGGAAAATTGATTGATTAATTATTAACACAAAAAAATAAGAAATTTTTTAGAAATTTAAAATAATATGCTAGAACATTTGAGAGTGGGCCACACAACTTCTCTGCTTCAACGTCATCTTTGGTTGGATCTTATGATCGAATCTTATGGGTACCACCGTAACTGTCTTATCTGTTGAGAAGGTAACATCAGCTCCATCAGATTAACCACTTAGTTACTGATAAGTTGTCTCAATCCGTTAGAAGACGATTATAATTTGTAAGTCCCGCCAACACTTATGAGACATCACACACAATCAAGCATATCTCTCTCTCATAGCTTGTATCTTCCGGCTCTTCCTACACTAAGTAATAAAATAATTAGGCGACCCTCACCTTTCAAAGTGGACATAGACCACATTGACCAAGCCACTCTACATTTTTATCTTGCTTGAGCTACTATCTCTCTACTTAATTACTTCATTACTTATCGGTCATTTGATGAATGGTGTAGAAAGACAATATGTTGAACATCATTAGGTATAGTTTATTTTTAATTTTAGTACGGTTGAAATATGAAATAAATGTTGCTTCAGGAACATCACTTGCTTGAATAGCGCCTTCAGGCACTGACTGAGCACCCGCCTCCTCTTGGTGTTCGTAAACAGGTAAAATTCCCATCTCTTTTACTTCAAAACATGGTTCAACATCCCCTGAAAGCTCAATCTTATCACCACCTTCCAATAGATCCCCAAAATTGTAAATACTTACCCACAACATAGCTTCATTAGTTTCCGGAATAGCAAAACACAATGGTTGATGACACCAACGAACATGCTTTGTCGTATTTGCAATCACAGAGCTGAATCCTTCATAAAGATCATATCTCTTGCGTATATAATTCTTCTTCATTCTATACACGCAACATACAACCAAGCCTCGGATCTTGCAATCAACAAGTGAAGGCACAACAAAAGGTAGATATGAACTTGTAGTCTTAATGTGGAACGCAGGTGGAACCTCACTCCCAGGAAGAAAATAGCTGCATACACCAGTTTCATACAATCTCTGTGCCAAATAACAATTATTAATATAATGATTTTAGAGAGTAAGGAGGCATGCAAAAGGGGAGAAAGGCAAACCTGGAGAGGAAGCTTCTTTTCCCTGATACTAGCGAATGTTTTGAGGTAGTTTAATTCAACATTTCCCATGGATTCTAAGTTTAAAAAGCCCTATCTCTTCAACCTCTCCATGTCAACACTTTTAATGGGTTCTAACTTGAATCGACCCTCAACCTCAACAAGATTGTCACATAACCAATATGTCAAGTCCACTGGTTTGGACAAAGTTGACTGATATGATATCTGTTCCAAGGATGAGCATCCAAACACACGCAATTTTATAAGTTTGGCACTTGGCAGCCTTGTAAGTGATTTGAGGCTTTCGCAAGAAGTTACGATAAGCGTTTGGAGACCCGTAAGAGCTCTGATACCCTCAGGCAGGCTAGAAATTTGGGTTTCGCTTAAATCTAAGGTCTGCAGCAAGTGATTACTAAAATCTAAGGGGAAAGCATCGCTATATAGATTGCAACCTGCAAGGCTTAGTTTCACTAAAGAAGATGGTAAAGAAATAGATGAGATCTCTGCACTTCTTCGAGGCTTTGATACCCAAGACCACATAAGTTCAACCCATGACTGAACCTCCTCAGGACTACAAGGTGCTTGATTTATAGCACCCACTGTCGCCACCTCTGTAGGTGACCAGTTAATATTCGAGCAACCGGAGATTATAAGTGTCTTAAGAAATGTCAACATACAAATGTTTTTGGGAAGCCCCTTAAGGTTTTTGCAATTTTTTAGATTCAAGAGAATGAGTCCTTCCAGCTCCCCAATCGATTCATGAACCTCAATCAAATTTACACAATCTTCAAGGATCAAACTCTCAAGATTGGGCAC